TTTGTTCAATTTCCAATTTTGATACAAACCGGGGAAAATGCAGAAGCAGCAAGCAATTTGTATCAGGAGAGGTATCCATAATCAATTTGAGAAAAAAAGGCCAAAGTTATATGAATCAAATAGATATAAGGAATTGGAAGAAATAGTCGGTTTAGGAGCTGTTGAACATAACGTCAACACGAAATTTGAAAATATCAACAGGCCTACCAAGATCTAACGTTAGGAGGGTTTGGAAAAAACAAATATTCAAGCAATACAGGACCAGAAGAGTTCATCAACTCAGACTAGGAGATGTTGAACGCCGCATGGCTTTTCATCAGTGGTTCCTGGAAAATTGTAATCAAGTGTGTGATTTTTCGTTGAATTGTATTTGGACAGACGAAGCTCATGTGAGCTGTACAATGATTTTCTTATACTTTTCTTATACACAACGTTGAGGAAAAGTACGACTTTGCTCCCTATAATGAGGCCAGGAAATGTATGCTTTGGATATAGGTAGGCGGAAAATATTTCATGTACCCCCTTTAAGGGACTGTATCTTAACAAGGGATGTTCCAATGAAATTTCTCTATATGAAAGATCCTATCTTTTTTTTCGATGAGGAATCACCTCCTTAAATGTTTTACACTTATTTAGTTACACCCTGTAGAGTGATTATTGATGCTCTCCTAATTTGAGCCGAACTGTATATCTTTTGAGTTTTATATCAGCAGAAGTTTTTTAGTTCCACTACGTAATCGCATAATTGCTTCGTGAATGTGCCACGTTGAATGTAGTGAATGCCTTTGGAAAAGTATTTGCAATGAAATGAATGGCGTTGTGGCAGGTAAGGTTTTCGATATATAGAGCTGAATGCCATTCCATGGATTCCGCTCTGTCACACAGAAACATAGCTGCAGTCTGAAGTGGCAGACATTCCTTTATCCCTCTTTCGGCCCAATTCCGAGGGGTTTTGTTTGAATGATGTGAAATTCTGCTCATGAGTTTATTTCGATATACAATATAAATATTTGATTTGCGAAGAATAAAAACTCAAAGTCATCTCCACAATTTAATATCATCATCAGATATAACAACAGTAAAACCATCAATCAGTACATGTTTCGAACCTATATAGGTTCATCATCAGCTACTTATTTGAAATTCTACAATAAAGGAAGTACAACATAACAATGTAAGTATAAAATACTTACATGAAGAAGAAAATATTTTATGGATATTTTATGTTAACAATGAAACAAACTGGTCACAATGATATAATGGAAAATATATTTTCAAGGTAGTGAAAAAATGGAGAAATTTATAATATTTCTCAGTGATTGAACTATGGGCGGCTTGAAAACTTTATACCCACTCATTAACTCAAAATCATCAAACGGTACATGAAAACGACTCGTAAAGAAATATCCGAAAGGAATGAGGATCAACTGTCAAACATATATAACAAGATAAAAGGACTTCTATCAGAAGATAAATATTTGAATTTCGTATAAAATTTATTCATGTAACGTTTCAGGATATTATTCTGGAGAGAAGAAAAATAACTGAGTTTCATCTTTCATGTTGAAATGAGTTTTTTTTCAACTCAGAAAAGAGTAGTCCTAGTTGCACATTGAGGGCAGCGGTAGATGAAGTATCACTTTGAGCACAGGGCCACGAGCCCTAATATCTTCAACAACACACCCAATCAGTCAATATACTTTATTGTCCAAGAAAAGATATTCTCATTGACAAAGCTTTCTATAATCTAAAGTCAGTACATTTGACAAATTTCACCGTGAAATACACCCCTTCTGAAAGTGACCCACCCTGTTATGACTCTTGCTTGACCAGATGTTATGCTGAAGCGAGTTCGCCAGAGTGGTATCAGTTGTTCAATACATCTCAGTATGTTATCGGGTACCACAGGGCATCTGAGCAAATGCAAGATGAGCTCATGCGAAATTGTATCAAATGCCTTACAGTAATCGATCTAGGTCATAGAGAGGTTACGCTTATATTGTATCGAGTTCTGCGTTACACATCTATCGATGAGCAGCGACTCCTCTCTTCGACCCTCTCTGCTCATATATCCGTTCGAACACTCGATCAACAGCGTTGAGTATTCGTGTGTATAAGATGCTTGTAAACAACTTATAACACGAATTCAAGCATGTTATCGGTCTGTAATTCTTAGGAATCGACAAATCTCCGCTTTTGGGGATGAAAACGGTCCGCCCCTCGACAAACCAATCCGGAATCGGCTGCTCTCCGTCCAGCCATGAGTTGAAAAATCTGGCCAGATGTCGGTGGCTACTTGGTAGTTTTTTCCACCAAAAAGTGTTCAGCCCATCTGGGCCTGGAGCAGCAAAGTTCTTGGAACCAACAAGGGCCATTCGAACGTCATCCGGGGTTATTCTATATACCACAGGTCGACAAATACAAGAATTTTCACAACACAAAAAATAAATATCATCGTGAAAAATTATTCACATAGCTTATTATAATCTAAAATGAATATATGTATAATTGAATTTGTGAAAAGTACATCAAATAAGTTGACAAAGACAAAAATTTATCACAATACAAGAAGGTGAACACCATCGTTGACTTTTTTTTCGAAAAATATGGTGTATAGAGATTTCTTTCAAACAGGGTGGCAAATTGTTTTATATCTTTTTGCTCTCATACATTATTGATTTTTTCGTTAATTCTAAGTGGGAGATAGAAAGAGATTGGTTTTTCTCGTTATTTTCGAGTGCGCCCAGTATCGGAGATGTAGGACTTGTGCTGATGCTCCGAACATAAAGTTTCAAGTATAAAAATGGAACCTAAAGTTATATGATGGAATCGGCCGATACTTGATGAAAATCCATAACTAACGTATTCCAAAAACACTTTATTGTGAGATTTTCACTAAATTGTTTTACAAAAACGCAACACGTGTTTCGCCATACAATGGCTTCATCTGGCGTGTAAGGTACTTTGATTTCAGGTACTCCATAAACTATATATATATTTAGTATTGAATGTGTAGAATTAGTTGAAAGACACGCCAGATGAAGCCATTGTATGGCGAAACACGTGGTGCGTTTTTGTAAAACAATTTAGTGAAAATCTCACAATAAAGTGTTTTTGGAATACGGAACCTAAAGTCAAAATTCTGTGTTTTATGAATAACGATTTACAATGGTCGTTGTATTCAGCTCTGGACATGATTCTGACTGCTTGTTTCTTCAGGACGAAAACAGAATCGAACAATTGCTTGCTGCAATAACCCCAAAATGCAAAACCATATCGCAGCTGTGACTCGATTAGAGAAAAATATGTCACCTTACTCATTGACAGATCCAGTTCCTTAGACACAACTCTCACTGCAAAGCAGCCCGAAGCCAGTTTCCTTTTGAGATTTTGGATGTGGATATGGAATTGTAGGTTACTATCAATTTCAATGCCAATAAATTTGGTACAAAGTTTGTTTTCAATGGTTGTATTGAATGTATTTGAAAGTCAGAAGGATACTTTTTCTTTTGCGTTGAAGCAGAGATGGTTTGAGCCGCACCAGTGTTTTACCTTCTTCAAATCATCTTTCATTTTTTATTTCAGTAACTCAAAATTAGACTTCCACATGAGTGTCGTGTCATCAGCAAACATTGTGAACTGGCCCTGTATATTAATACTGGCTAATTCATTTATATATAATAGGAATAATATCGGCCCAAGGGCTGAACCTGGTGGAACATCATTCCTAATATTTCGTTATTTGGAGTTAGAGTTGTTTTCTTTCATTTTAACTTTGCTTCCTGGCAACTTGTGAAAATGACTCGAACCAATTGTAGCTTACATCTCTGAATCCATAACACTGAAGCTTTTGAAGCAGTACACTGCCCCAACTGCGGCGCCCTCATTCATCCCTAGATTTTCTTTTTCCAAAAAATGGAAAATGGCATCATTTGGGTTTTTTTTGGTCTGGGTCTTATTCAAGATATTTTGGTCTTGCAAAAACTGCAACATCCTTTTCTGTTCTTTCTATGATCTTAGAAAGAAAAGATAATAAAGAAATCGGACGGAAGTTCGACGGATCTTCACGGTTTCCACCTTTGTGGATTAGAATGATAATGGCTGTTTTTAGGCATGATGGAAACACACCAGTGTCACAAGTAATATTTATAACTTCAGCTAAGGTTATCAAGAGTCCATCAGAGATACTTTCCAATGTACTCAAAGGAATGTCATCAATACCAGTAATCCTTTCATTTTTTATTTCACGGAATATATCTCGTAACTCGGTAGCACTGGTGGGGTGCAAGAGGAAGGTTTTAGTCACAAGTATATCTTGCATATAACACATTGGATCTGACCCTGTTGTATTTGAGGGATCCCATATTGGGATCCACATTGCTGAGAAAAAGATCTACTTTTCCCTCTCAATGAGTTGACTATTGTCTAGCTCTCTTTAATTTCAATTTTAGATTTATCTACCCTATTTTTGTAGTACCTATATTTGGTAGCTTCAACTAGAAGTTTGTATAACTTTTTATAATCTTTATAATATTAAAAAAAAGTTTGGGATCTCAAGTTTGCAGCTGAGGTTCTAATTCTGGGAGTTATTCATGGTTTGCATAGTTTTTCTTTGATTTTTTTCACGGGGAAACACGGATATATATGGTTGTTTAAAAAGTTTCAAATTCAAACATTAATAATTCCGCCACCCGTAGTCAAAATAAAAAAAGTGAAGCGCATTGTATAGAGAATTGAAATACTTTCCATAAGAAATGTTAAGTTCCCCTTTCCATTCAGAAAAAAAAGTTGATAGCGCCCTCTAGGCGCAAAGTGATATCACCCTATTAGCTTTGCATCCAAAGTAGTAAAAACGATTTTTTTTCATAAACATTTCGTTCGACTCTTATATTTTGCCCCTATCTGAAGTTGAAAGGGGGACCTTTTATCATCCGTGAATGAAAAATTTCTTTAACAATGCTTCATTTCAGTTTCACCTGACAATTATGTCATAATCTGTCAAAAATATCGTTCAAAAACCAAGAATGACAACTCATTTTCATTTTGTCAAAATTTTTGGTTTTCGTAATCAGTTATCATCTTACTTGTAACAATTCGCCTATATATGAAAATCAACCAGGACAGTCCAGCTAGGTAAAAAGTTTCATTTCTGATGAATTAAATATAACTATCGACTCATTTTCAGGGCCGTCCTCTCATTTAGTGAATGTTGAAATAAAATGAATTTCCTAAAACTGAAATTTGCTAGCAAATCGGACAAAGATCAAGGATTCAAGGAACTGCAAAGAAGTAAAGGTATGAAAGAAAACTTTTTTATTGTGCGTGGTTCTCCTAACTCATAAGCTATTTGAAGGAAAATGATGAAGATTCCGTTCGTAGCAAAGTTACCAAATCCTGCGTCACTTTTTGGATCGACTCTTCAGTATTATCGGTAACTATTTCTTTTTCAATTTTAGACACTCATAATATATTTGCCAACGAAAGAATGCAATCCAGGCACTCCTCATCGTCTGGTGTGCTAATGGTTGGACCAAATTTTAGGGTCGGCAAGAAAATTGGAAGTGGAAATTTTGGCGAGATAAGATTGGGAAAGAATCTATATAATAATGAACATGTCGCCATCAAACTGGAACCTCTCAAATCGAAAGCACCACAACTCACCCTGGAATATAGATTTTACAAAATGCTTGGACAACAAGAAGGTACATTATTATAGGCAGTAATTGTTTTATACTTTCTATTTCTTGTAATGCCTACAGTCAGTTGGAAATACGGAGACTGAATGATTTTTCAATATATAGGGTCTTCCATTAAGCGCTTTCTATCTTGAAATTGAAATGAATTGAAGTATACCGGGTGATTCTCTACGGTGGCTCACCCCTACAACTTTTTTATTATCGGAGAAAAACGAAATTTGGGAGTTGTGTATTATAGTTACATTCATATTTTGTGACATATTTAGTTGCTTTGCCGTACTTTCGGTTTGACCGGAAATGACCCCAACTTTCGATTTTTCAACGGGACATCTTATATATTTTTACTTATTTTGATCGAGAATGACATTTTTAATCCAAAAATACTTCATTTGTCAATATTTGACAAATGAAATAATTTTTATTCTAATTTTAATTTTTTGATCTAGAATGCCATAATTCGTGTGAATCGCTTCATTCTTGATCAAGTAACATGGGAGGCTTATGACTTCACAGTTGTTTCAAGAATTATTTCACAGTCGCAAATATGAATTTTTCCAGTCAACTTGATTTTTTCAAATGGAAAAGGGATGGCTCGTTGGCTTTTTGTAAAAGATCATTTTCTTATGAATAATTTGGTGCCACATAGTTTCACTTTATTTTCTCTATTTTTCTGAATAATTCCAAGAAAGTCGCAAATTAGTCCATTAAGGGTATACATTTTCAAAATGACCTCCTTGATCACGGCAAAGTTTTACTTTTTCAATTGTTGCGCCCATCACATTGATTAGCTGTTCCTCATTGATGTTTTGGAATGCCACCCTTAGTTTATGCTCTAGTTCTTCACGAGTATCTGCTGTATTGTAAACCTGATTTTTAATCGTTCCCCAGAGAAAAAAATCTAGCGGAGTAAGATCTGGTGATCTGGAATATGAAAAAAATGATATATTTATGTTAAAATATGACAACTCAAGAATGTACCTCGCAGGCCACTGAATAGGTCCATAAGTGCCAATCCACTTTTCTGGGAAGGTGTCATTCAGATGTTCTCTTTCGACTTGAGAATTGTGAGGTGGCGCTCCATTTTGTTGAAAATAAATATCAACTTGGTTAGCCAGTGGAAAATCTTCAATGATATCATTAATTTGACTTCTAAGGAACTGTAGATATATTTCCGCAGTCAGTTGTCCGTCGAACATCATTGGCCCCAAAAGTTTTCCTTCGATAATACCCATCCAGCAATTGTAATAAAATCTGTCTTGAAAATATCCTTCCTGCATCAGATGCGAATTTGTTTGAAACCAGTATCTTTTATCATTCCTATTGAACATACCCAAGTTGGTGAATCGGGTTTCATCCGAATGAATAATTTTCAATGGAAAACGTACATCTTCTCCGTATTCTGTCAAAAGTCATTCTACGGTTGTGATCGTTATCGTAAAGATGTTGGTGTAGTTGGTACTTGAATGATCGATAATTATATTTGTGAAGAATTTTCCAAACGGACGAATAACTTATATCACACTCAGAAACAATGTGGCGAATTGACGCCGTACAATTTACTTCAACATAGGCTAACTAGTCTACTTCTTTTTCTTCACTGACGATGAAGTTATTAGCATTTTCTTCTGGTTCATTTCGCATTTTCCCTTTCAGTTTTGGAAAATAATGCCAAGTGAGATGGCGACGATTGGGAAACCTATGAGCATAAATTCGAGCTGCATTAGTTGCATTCTTTTTTTTTCTCCGTAAATAAGCAACATGTCGATTTTCTCATTTCTAGTATAATTTGCCATATCTTATTATAAACTACATAACAAATCATTTTTAGAAGTGACAGCATATTCATTAGCCTATTTGTTTAGCTAGTCCTAGCAACAGCTTCAATTGTTTGTCACGGAAAACTAGAATAACAGTATTTAGTGGGTAAGTATACCGAATACATATTATTTGTTTAGGTATGATCGTTTCTTGCAATTATTCAGAAAAATACAAAAATATAATTGACAGTGTGTGGCATCAAATCATTCGTAAGAAAATGATTCTTCACAAAAAGCCGACGAGCCACCCCCTTTCCATTTGAAAAATCAAGTTAACTGGAAAATTCATATTTGCGACTGTGAAATTCTTGAAACGACTTCACTGTCGTTTCAAGAATTATTTCACCATAACATGGTGAAAGTTGTACTTTCACCATGTTACTTGTCAAGAATGAAGCGATGAAACGATCCATGGTATTCTAGATCAAAAAACAAAAATTGGAATAAAAATGATTTCATTTATCAAATATTAACAAGTGAAGTATTGTTGGATTAGGAATGTCACTCTCGATCAAAATAAGTAAAAATATATAGCATGTCCCAATTAAAAATCGAAAGTTGGGGTCATTTCCAGTCAAACTGGAAGTACGGCAAAGCAAGTAAATATGTCAAAAATGTGAATTGAAGTTTAATAAAAAAAACCCAAATTTCGTTTTTCTATCTCCAATAATAAAAAAGTTATACGGGTGAGCCACCTTAGAGAATCACCCGGTATATGAGATATCACCTAAATTTCTCATTCGTTTGAAAAACCTAGTAGGAGAAGGAGTAGGAGTAGGAGTAGGAGTAGGAGTAGGAGTAGGAGTAGGAGTAGGAGTAGGAGTAGGAGTAGGAGTAGGAGCAGAAGTAGAGTAGATGAGTAGAGTTGATGAGTGTCACTGAAATATTATTTTCATTGTCTATTGAAAAATTAACATTCAAAGAATAAAATAAAATGCAATTGGGTGAAACTTTCCTACACGATGAAAATCCATATTGCGATGGTGTTCTTACAAAAACGCGACACTTGTTTTGCTATACAGTAGAAAATCATCTGACTGATGGGAAAATTCACCACATAGTATTTGGAAATTAATAATTAGTACCGTTTATAGAAAGAAGTTTATGAGTTCTACACTTCTCCATTATCCTTCAAACAATTGAGATGATTTTCCAACGAAAGGAAGAAAGCAATTATGTACAAAATAAACTCTACACAAAGATGTATGTATCATGTATATGATTTTTAATCAAGTACATTGAATTTTACGAAAGAAATAGTACTTTTCAAACAACCACTTTCGTATTAACACTGAATTATACGAACTTCACTGTTTATTAAATTTTATTCAGTTTGTACTCCAAACATTCGTAATGGAATTGAATCAGATGTCAGTAATGGAAAAACTACACAATATAATATACGAACAAGTAACCTCATTGGCACGTTTTTGAATGATATTACAATATCACACTTATTCGAGCAATTTATGTTTTTTACCACTTGTATTTGTTACTAACGTTACGAAACTGCGGTAGCGTCAGTTACAAATACAAGTGGTATAAAAACATGAAAAGTTTCATTTCTCATTTTTCATCTTCATGTTTTCAACTGGTTTCAACTAGTCACATGCCACATTATTAATTTCAAATTGGAATATCGATTGTACTTTTTGTTTCAATTCCGTAGTATTTCATTCATTTCATTATTATATTACTATTTCTTGTTTAGTTTCTCTTCAATAGAATATCATGATGGATCAGAAACGTCATTGCATCATTTCTGATCAATTTATTATAGGACAATTTACATATCAATATATATTTAGTTAGGTCTGCTGGTAGGAAATACGTTATTTACAAATTGGTTGCTTTATGATTTAAGGCTTTAATATCAGTATTCAACCATACTATTGATATTTTAATATCCAATAATAAAAATAATAATATTTAATTCACTTGTTGAACAGTGCGAAAGCATTACAATAAACATTCAGATACAGTAACAAGTAAGACGTCTATGTATAATTAAAAAAATATATATACAAAATATACATAAAACAACAAAACATGACAGATACTCATCTGTTAATATAAAGGTAATTAACAGTTATTTATCGAGAGTAACTATTAAAACACGTCAACGGTGTAGCAGTTTCTTTCAATGAGCAGTTTCTTTTTTCAATTGTCTTTTGAATATGCAGATATTCATTGAGTCCTTAATAGACACGACTAATTTGTTATATAGTTTAAGTCCAAGGTACTAACATGAAATCATCAAAGAAAATTATATTGAGTTAGTCGATCTGTGATGAACATCCATAACCAAGTTATTGTTAAGCCAACATGAGGAGTTTGAGTTGTTTTTGAAGAATATCTCTGATGTAATTATATTTTCACTTCTGAGAACAGAAACGAATTCAGTTTCAGATACTTGTTACTGAAAACTGAGAACATTCGTGAATTAAAAAAAAATTAGAGTAGGCACGGAAAATAATGAACATGTTTACCGCAGAACTCTTGGCGGAAACCTCCATTTCGTTAAGATCATCATTTTATGAACCGTTATGAATCAATATGAATTCATTTCAAAATATTATTATGGAAATGTCAACTTGACATTGTCAAGCTGTGTCACTTGGTTTGCTTTCTGAGAATGGAATGCCGAGATACATTGGATCCCTCTATCAAGAAGTCGACCGCAGGTCGAGAGTTTCTGACAAAATATTTTACATATGACAGGATTTCAATTGATCACACAGGAAATTCTATATATTTTGATAAAAACGTAACTAGTCATTGATTTCTTTTCATCTTTGTCACTGGCCGGATCAGAATCGAAAAACCACTTCAAATTTCCAATTAGTCACGGATAAATTCTGAACTTATTTGGGGAGTTTCACGTGAAAACCTAATACCAGTTTTGAAGCGTTCCTATGACATTTTCTTTATCTACTGAGGTAATTCATAGCGAACACCAAATAATATCTAGTTGCATTGGCCAAAAATAATACCAACTGCTTGTTGACATGGAATTTTTTTAATTTTTTTTTGATATATAATTATGAAGACACGTATTCTACTACAGCGCAGTGGTAGTGCGCCCGACTCACGACTGGAAGGTCGTGAGTTCGATCCCAACCTCGATCAGATATTTTGTTGGGATGATTCTGCAACGTTACATGACTGACGGATATTAACATTTCCTACCCAGGACATGAGGCTAATGACCAATGTAGTCGATGCCGATGACAGCGAAAAAAAAACGTATCACACTACAATTTGTAGAGTAATTCTGTTGCCAGAATTTAAATTTGGCATATTGAAATGCCTCAATATTTGTGAAAGAATGGTTTTGGCTTTCTACTTCTCCATCTTTATACAAAAAAAAAAAAAAACGTTTTCATGTAAAAGGAGTTGTTTCGAAAGGTTTTTTGTGTAATTCAATGTTTATATGGAAGTAGCTGTTTCGGAAGTACTTTTTCTTTCAGTTTGTGTCTGAAAGTTACTTCTTAGCATTATGTGCATATCTTTGTATAAAGTTAACTTTTTCAAATTGATTGCTTTCTTCCTTCCTTTGAAAGATTTACGAAGTTTTTTGTACAAATATGGAGAAGTAGAAAGCCAAAATCTATCTTTCCCAAAAATATTCGTTATATTTCTGCCTGTGAATTCACATTTTTCTATTTTCCCTGTGATGACTGATCCTTAGTCACAAGCTTCTTTCAAATGTTCCATCCTCCTTGAGCTGCTCAGTATAATAAAAAATAAAGCGCATCTTTCATGAAGGCAGCAATGAATATCATATTTGATTCTGAAATCTGAATTGATCAATTCTGATTCCTTCAAGGACCATGCACACTTGTAGTGAAAATTTCAAAGGAATCACGCGGTGTGATTATTCCGAAGGTTTCAGTTCCCATTAACATTGGGCCTGTATTCATTTGGAAGCTAGCGGGTAGAAGAGTCCTCACCCACTTTCATTATCTTGAAAATCAACACTAGATATATTCTTTAATTCCGTTGTTATTGATGTTCGTAGAAGTTCTCTTCTGGTCGAACCGGAGTCTTCGACAGCACCATTCATTTCTTCCCAAGTTTCCTTTGCAGTTTTGGTTTCTTGAATGAGGAGAGTCTTCGGAAAGGATACTTTTGATACTTTTTCTCTTGCTTTCATGACTTATTCGAAATCTTTTTCAATACCAGCACATTGCGGGTATGTTTGAAGGTGATTGACAATGTTTCATGATGAGTTCGGACTTCCATTGTCTGATATTATATAAAATGGAGAACATTGGTTTGGAAGGAAATTCAAAGAAGCCGTATACATGTTGTCCAACAATGTATTCAGCCAAGCTATCGTAGAGATACGCAACATATGGAAACCCATAATCAAGCGAAAATGGCCAACTACCGCCAAATCGTCATCTCCCGCCAAACAGTCATATTCCGCTAAACCGGTGGAGCCGGAAAAGAAAAGTTGAAATAAGTGAAAGTACTTGAATGACCCATAGATAGTCATCTCTCGGAGGGATTAGTCCAGTCATACCGTTTGTGGATACTAACAATCGAAACTTGGTGAAGTAACTTGGCTTGGAATCTATATTTTTGAATTTTATTTTTTTATTTTTTGTTCAATTCTTCTATTTTTACTTGTATTTTATTCCACTGTTATTTCATTTCAGGGTTTTTTGCTTAATTTAATAGTTATTTTCAACTATTCTTTTTCAATTCTTTTTTTTTGTGTTAGTTCTTTCAAGGATTTCAAATCATTTTATATAATGGAAACTTTCTCATGACTCATCAGTTTCATATTAGAAAGTTCAATCTTTATTTGTCGGTGAAATTTATGTCAGCACTTTTGTTCCATAACCTAATGTTATTTGAACTGGGGCTGTGTAATTTAATGTGAGGAAGATTTCAATTTTCAATGGAATATTTTTGTTAATTAATCAATAGAAAAACATTCATTCAACTTTTCTACCCACATAAATGAGAAACCAACCAACAAAAAGTTGATTCCATTATATAAATTACCTTTTTACTTAACTTTTTTAATAATCACAAGGATGTTTTTCCATTCATAACAACCCAATCTAGTTATTTTGTTCGATACATCATATTTCAACTCAATACTCAAATCTACTGATTTCTGAGCATTCAAAATGAAGTTATTTTCTAATTTTCTTTCAAATTTGATACATCATAGACGGATTGCAAATGTGGAATTGCTCTTCATATTCAAGAAAATACTTCTTTGTTCTTCCATTTCTTTGAAAAATGATGTTCCCGTTTGGCCAATATACAGTGCATTCAATTTAAAACAAGCCACTCTAAATAGCTTTTGGGATAATGATTTGCAGAAAAAATAAAAAACACGTCAACCATAGTATACAGGGGGACACATTTTGACATATTCACATTTGATGTTACTTCTCTTATCGCACCACCAGAGCATGTCACCAATTTTTTCAATGGATCACCCTATATTGTTTCGCATTATCAGATGCTCCATGATGAGCAGATTTTAACAAAAGTATAAAACATATGGTCTGAAGCTGATGGTTTGGGAGCTACAAATTATTTGAGTTGAAAACGAGCCACCCTGAATAATTTTTGAAACAGTGATTTTCAGGAAAAATAAAAAAACACCTTGACAAAAGTATACAGGGGGACACATTTTCACATATTAACATTCCATCTACCTTTCCCTATCGCACCCCCAGAGCATGTCAACAGTTTTTTAAATGGATCAATTGTTTTGCATTATCAGATGTTCCATGATGAACAGATTTCATTAAAGTAGAATACATTATGGTCTGAAGCTCATAGTTTGGAAGCTGAAAATCATTTGAGTTGAAACAGAGCCACCCTGAATGAACTTCTGTACAATCTTTTACCTAGGTCCCATATTTTTGTGAATTATACTTCGAAAAAGTCTTATTTCGCTTAGTTGAGTTTGGATTTGTTATTATCTTCATTTTGTATTTGTCTCATTATACAATAACGATTACCTAACAGGTAAAGTTGAAATTGGTGTTTCTGTTTTTGTGAATTCTTGAGAAGCAATGGTTAATACGCTTCGAGAACGGATTGAAATAGTGAGTTTGTATTACTAGAATGGAAATAGTGCTAGAGCTGCTGCCCGTGTGTTCAATGATAACCATCCAGGAAGAAATGTACGACACGAATACGTTTCGGAATCATTGAACAAATTTATGGAAACTGGATCTGTTAACAATAAAAAGCATAGCCGTTCAGGAGTTTTCATTGATGAAGCTATTTGTACTGCAGTTTTAGGGTACGTTGGACTAATGGAAAATTCGCAATCTCTTACTAAGTTGCATCAATAAGGTAACTGAGGAAGATATAAATTTATTCGAAAACTAAATAGTTTTTCAGCAGTATGGTGCACCTCCTCATTATGCAGATCCAGTGCAATTTTTGGATGATCATTTTCCTGGTCGCTGGATTGGCAGAATAGGTCCTACAAAATAGCCACCAAGGTCTCCAGAGCTCACTTCTGTAGATTCATTTCTATAGGGCCATTTGAAATCCGAGGTGTATTAACTCCCGAAATTCTCAACCATGTGAGGGTGGCAATGGAAGCTCGTTAGTACCATTGTATGAAAGTTAGTGAAAACATTTTTGAACACTTACTAAAAAACATTTTTTTTCTTCTCATTGTTCTGTCATCAGATTTTGATTCGAGAATTGATGAAACTTTTTTTTTCTGATTTAATGCTTCCGTATTTGTCTCTGGAACGGATATTTCAAAATGTAGCCTCCTGTATAATTGCTTACCTGTTTTTTTATTTTTCCTGCAAGTCATTGATTCAAAAGTTATTCAGGATGGCTTGTTTTCAACTCAAACAATTTGTAGCTCCCGAACCATAAGCTTCAGACCATATGTTTTATACTTTGTTGAAATCACCATGTGCATCTGTATGGAGTATCTGATAATGCAGAATAATATAGGGTGATCCATTAAAAAAAAAAATGGTGCCATGCTCTGGAAGGGCGATAGGGGAAGTAACATCAAATGTGAATATGTCAAAATGTGTCCCGCTGTATACTATTGTTGACGTGTTTTTTTATTTTTCCTGAAAATCATTGTACCAAAAGTTATTCAGGGTGACTCATTTTGAATGGAATGCACTGAATATATTTTTGGACAAGAACCACAAATCACCTCGTAATATCCTCATCAGTGATTTCGGAAACTGTTCAGTTGAAATCTCACAATAAAGGGTCACTTGAATACGTCATGGATTTTCATCACATATCCACTAATTTTATCACACCTCGCTCTGAAGGTATTTGGTGGTTTTTATGAATATGCCTCATGACTGAAATAATGCACTGTTTATAGATTTCACGAAATCATTTACTAATTTCAATTAAATGTACAACGCTGATTCCGATTCAGGAGTTCCTAGAAATCGTCATTTTCATTTTCAGGTATCGCTAAAATTTTCCATTTAGGAACATGTGGTGGTCGATACAATGCATTGGTGATGGAACTTCTTGGTCCAACTCTGGAAGATCTCTTCTCCCTCTGCAGCAGAAGATTCAGATTGAAAACAGTTTTGATGATAGCAGATCAATTGATTACCAGATTGGAATATGTTCACAGTAGAAGATTGATTTTCAGAGATATCAAACCCGAAAATTTTCTCTTGGGAAGGTCTAGGAATAAAAAAGACAAAATTATCTACATCATTGACTTTGGATTAGCCAAGGAGTACATTGATCAAGACTCAGGAAAACATATCCCTTACAAGTAAACAATTTATGTCATTTAAGTGAAAAGTTTTTTCAATTTGTGTGTGTTCATCAATTTTTAACTTCTTTTCTAACGGTTTCTTAGGAGTTTTATTCGATTGGATGAAACACTGAATACTCAATTATTTAAATTATCTAATATACAGGCTGTTCTCTAATGATTTTCAAATATTCGAGGGTGTGAATTTACATGGAAAAATAGTGATACGTTGGTATACAAATTATTTCTCAAAAATAGTCCGTTACGGAAATACGAGGTGTTGAAATTTTAGGAAAATAATGAAAATTATTCAACTTTTTTGAAATCATTTGAAATATTCTGATGATATTTGGTGAGCTCTGACAGTTGATTGAAATTCATATTTCTCAACTTCAACAGTGGCGTAAGAACGGGAATTTCCAAGAAGAAAATGATACGCCTGTAGATTTTTTCTAGATGGAATTTATTCGTGAAAACAGAATGGAACCTTTGTATCATTCGAGAAATTATTGAAAATTTGTATTGCATTGAATTCGTTCATACTCAAGTTTTTGAATAAGTAATTAATCAATTATTGAAGCAGTCTATTTTTCCAAACAAAATGATTTCTTCAACTTTGATATTTCCTTTGAGTATATCAAATGTTTCCAAATTATTGAAGAACTGTATGAAACTCTATCCTACTTCAATTTTTGATTCATCTCATATTCACTAATACACAAACATTTAACGTAGGTAACTAGAGAACGGTCGAAAAAAATATAATAATGGTGTAGATAATGTACAAAAAACTGAAAAATAATTCGAAAGGTCCTAGGTAGCTGTTATCACACCACTCTTTTCAGCAGTCTATGGTATTGATCGATAAAAAATTATAAAATCGTTGGGTGTAGCGTCAACCTGAGTAAATATATGAATACTACGCCAATAGATTTTATTATTTTTTCATCTGATCAATACCGTATGCCCGTACCCACGATACTGTTGAAAATCACTTTGAGATCAGGAATACCAAGAAAAATTCACACTTCCTTCAATGCCATGAAGAAAGTGTGATTCATAAAATTTTTTTTAACAAAAACTGAAATGAACCTTGATGAAATAATTTATAATATTTTTCCAGAATAGCTGAAATAGAAATAACAAAATTTGAATCAAATTTCAATGGAAAAATGAGAAATTGTTTTCGAACCCTATTGAAATGTAGGTACGAGTTCAAGTCAGCATATAGTCATTTATTCAATGTGAACGATTATAGAGTTGAAATCTTTGTTGAAAATGCTCTTTCTGTATCATATTATATCAAACTGTAAGACGTTCATTTATTTTCCAAAGAGGCACACAATCTCTACCAGGGAGAAAACAATATAAAAAATAATCCAAGCCAATCTCAACTCAGTCATGTTTCATCATCAGTTATAATGCGTTTGATGATTGTAAGGTCGAAATTGACTCGTTCCAACGTGTCTCAGGTGACTTTTACGCGACTGAATTTCTGCAGAAGATTCGGGTCTTTTGGTACTAGACCAACGGCAATGTGTTTCATGCCTAAAAAATCGTTCAAAATTGTACGAATTGATTCGTGAGACGTGGACATTTCAGCGGTTATCTCTCATAGACTTGAAACGACGATTTTCAGTCACCACTTCCTTCATTCTATCAGTGTTAGGTACAGCTGAGTTGTTGATGGTCCACCAGAGCGGAGAAAATCTTCCCATCTCGACCGCTTTCACTCATACATAGGGGAGACCAGGGTTGGAAGTCACATTTTTTGTCTTTTGCATTTTTAGTGCCCTTTTTTATAAATTATCAATGATAATTTTTTATCAATAGATAGTCTATTTATACTCTTCGAAAAAGTATTTTTTTCTTTCCAAAATCATCCATAAAGGAAATATAACAATTCTTATGGCCATCCCCGGGCCGGGGATTGCTGTCGCAGTATCTTGGACAAGTAGTCACATAGGTAATTGAGGGGTATTAAAAACATTCAAATGAATATTTTCATTGAAAGTGGAATAATATAGGTAACTAATTATATTCAAAAAGAAAAAAAATGGTGTCTCACTTGTAAGTAAAAAACATATTTGCTTCAAATGAATAACTTCCTACTAAAATACCAAAAATATCCATCAGGCCGCAATACTTGTAAACTGACAATACCCATCCTAACGAAAGTATATTTAGTCAGTCTAGAATTCAGTGAATATCCGAAATCACAATTATAGTAAAAGTAACCTTGTAGCCTGGTATGTCATATGTAACCTAGTAAATGTAACGCTGTTTTTCGAATATTCCTGGTAAACGAACCGAAATGAATATTTGAAGCCACAAGTTTGTATCTTTCTAATTCTTTCTTCTATTTGCCGGGCAGATTTGCCTATACCTTCGATGACTAATTTTTGTTGGTGGTATTGAAAACACCGTGTTGCTTATCTCTTCGACAATGAGTTTTTTTACAAAACCGTGTCAGAATGCGATAATAATTAATCACCAAATCACTTCTTTTACACTGCGTGTAATACTAGTTGATCAGACTTTCTCATACGATGCCATGACATATCTATGATTTTTTCTAAAACAAAAAAATTGTATGTAGCAGAAGCTCAAAAAGCCAACAAAAAATGCAGCACATATATACGGTGTTGGTTGTATCACGTGACTACCAGCCCCAAAACACATTTCAAAATATAACCCCCGAAATAATTCTGAATCGATATTCATTCATAAAAACGGATAGTTTTATGATTAACCACATATGACACATCAAAAATACATGAAATGATCATATACCGGGTGTCAACGAATCTATTAGACAAGTCATAATTTCTAGACTATTAGGAGAATTAAAATGAGATTTGGTATAGTTGAATGGTATGTGGAGAGGAATGTTTTCACATATTTTTCACTTTCC